AAATGTGTTAATCTTTTTCAGTCCAATTAGTTTAATTATAATCGGGTACATTGTCCGAAACTTCTTCCTGTCATATGAGTCATTTTCCAATCCAGAAAAAGTTTCACAGGTTTTCTATATAAATTCATTTATTAACTTTATTTAAAAACATTCGGAAAAACTATTTCAAGAAATTCGAAAACATTTCTCAAATTCGAAGATGTGTCCTTCCAAAACCAGAATTCCCACAAACTTCTCGAACTGGAATAGTTTGGACTTTGGGTTCTAAAAACTTATAATAATTACATTCAAATATGTTTCCTTACCTTTTGATTTTCTAAAGTTCAAAATGTCTTTTACAGCGTTCCGATAAGGACGATATACCGAAAGGATAGCCAAACTTTCAACCAATCCATTTAGCCCATAAAATATCATACCCAGATTCATAAGGCCCTGGTTGTAATAACCCTTGGAAAATAAAAATATCAAGACAAGTGGAGGTATCATAAGAGTTAATACCGGAATTGAAGTTTGGATCATGGTTCCAATTAAAAAATGCCGTTGTGCTCGGCGAGTTTCAGCAGAAGTAGATCTTGAAGGAGGAGCTACGAACAAATAGTATATTGTACATGCCCAGTGGAATACACTATTTGCAAATGTTTGAAATAAAAGTGCAGGAACCCAAAAAAACATAAAAAAGTTTCTGATTGCTGAATCGGAAATAAAAAATACAACAGGAGACCTAAAAAATTCTTTAGTCGGGCACGGATCGATTTTCAGAGCTTCCAATTTTTGTGACTCTTCTGTCGTCGTGAAGAACATGAATAATAATACAGTGAGATTCAAAAATAATACTAAAGTATGGTATAAAACTCGAGTGCATTTCTTTGTCATCCGAAAACGATTATCTGTGATAGCATTACTTCGGCTCTCAAATAAAAAGACGTATGAGCTGGCAAAACCTAGGAAAGACAAGAAGATGGACTTACAGACAAACAAATGAACTCACACAAAGCTGACAACGCGCCAGCAGCCATTTGCGGGATATACGATAACCCGAAGAAACT